GGAAGGAAGGAAGGAAGGAAGGAAGGAAGGAAGGAAGGAAGGAAGGAAAGAGATAGATAAAAGAGAAAGGAAAACATATTAGATATTTCTTAAAACTGGTGTTTGGCTTCAGAAATACAGAGGATGGAAGACTAGACCAAGACTCCCAGGTGGTGGGGTTCACATGGAAGAAAAGGAGCCCCAAGACCATGAGACTGCCCCTTACCCACAGCTACTTAAGAACTTCCCAAATCTGATGCAAGCCAGAATTGCCTGAAAGACAGGCCTCCACCTCTGCTGCCTGCATCTGAATCCCAGAAGAGAAGCACAGAAAAACCAAACCTTTAATCAAAGATGCCACTGGATTTTCTCTTTGAAGTAGATTCTCTCTTGTTGTGCTGGCTGGCTTTGCATCCTATAGCACAATACCTGGGAGAATGAGCTTTTAGGGAAGAAAGATTTCTTTTGGGTTTAGGGTTTCAGAGTTGGCCCCACTGTTTTGGGCCTGTGACTGGCAATGCCCATCATTGTATGGAATCTGCAGCGAAGCAAAGCTCCTCAGCCTCACGACAGCTAGGAAGCCACAAAAGACAGGAAGGGTCCAGAGCTCCACTATTCCTTTCAGAAGCATACTTATAATCATCTTTAACCCCAGGTCCAGGCGATTCAAAAGGGCAAGCATGGTGCACATGTATACATTCAAGCAAAGCATTCATATTCATAAGATAAAAACAAATCTTTAAAAGTTATATTTTTAAAAGTCTGCTGGAATTAGAATCATGTATGACCACACTCAGCCCCCTTCTCTTTCTCCTCCTGTAAGATTTATTTTTAGCTGGGAATGATGGTACACGCCCTTAATCCCAGCATTAGAAGGCAGAGGCAGGTGGATCTCTGAGTTCAAGGCCAGCTTGGTCTACAAAGCAAGTTCCAGAACAGTCAGGGCTACACAGAGAAACTCTGTCTCAAAAAGCAAAACAACAAAAAATTGTTTTTATATCTGTGTTTTTTGCTTGAATATATGTATGTGTACTACATGCATGCCTGGTGCTCTCAGAGATCTGAAGAGGGCACTGGATCCCCTGGAACTGGAAGTTATAGATGCCTGTGAACCACTATGTGGGAGCTGGGAACCAAACCCAGGTCCTCTGCAAGAGCAATGCATGCTCTTAACCACTGAGCCATCTCTTCAGTCCCATCAATTCCTTTTTTGAATTAAAAAAAAAATTAATCACACCAGTTGGAGGTGGTGTACTGCTTTAATCCCAGCACATGGGAGGCAGAGGCAGGTAAATCTTTGAGTCTGAGGCTAGCCTGGTCTACAGAGTGAGTTCTAGGACAGCCAGGGCTACACAGAGAGACCCTTTCTCAAAAAAGTCAAAAAAAAATTTAATTACATGCATTACATACAAAGTAACGAACTTCATAGTGGTTTTGCATATACATAAGTCATTGTACTTTGTTAAACTCCTTGTAATCTAGGATCCTATAGGCACTTGAAGATCCCTGTCTTGGTCCCTCCCACAAGGTAGAATAAGGGTAAGACAGGAGAACCCCAAGGGAAAGGGGGTCTCAAGTAGAGGCTCCCAGACCAGATGTCAGACACCTGGGACTGTGATGTAGTACACACCTGCCAGCAGGCATGGAAATAGCACGGAGAAGCTTAAAGCTTTTCAATATAGCTGACAGGCTCTACAGAGACCTTGAAAGAGCAGATTCCAACAACTTCCTGCATTGTTTTGGTGACACAAAGGCCACTGTTCTTACTGCTACTCAGCCATTTTTCTTGACTATACACCGCCTACAAGGTGACAAGAGCCATTAGCAGTCCTGGGGGAGGAGAATGACTGGCAACCCTGCTTCCACCCCAGCATCCTTGCTACTGCTATAGATATTCAAGGAGCACTTCCCTCGGGCTGTGGAATGTAACTTGGTTTTCAGAGTGCTTGCCTACCGTGAACTAAGTCCTAGTCCCCATCACCACTTAAAGCAGATGTGGTGGCACACGTCTGTAATTCTGACACTTGGGTCATAGTGGCAGAAGGATCACAAGCTCCAGACAGTCCCCAGCTCATTCTAGGCCAGTCTAGGAGTCACAGGACCCTATCTTAAAAAAATAAACTAAAAAACTACATTTAAAAGACTCTCCTATCTATCTATTTCCTGAATTATCACTTCACCAAATAGATCAGGAGGCATGCCTAGTGTCTAGTAGACCTATAATTCTAACTAAAGGACAGAAACACAAGCTACCAATCATATAAGAGCAGAAGGAGCTGCTTTGTACCCCCACAGTGTGACCCAGAGCTTCCCACCCCACGCTCCCCAATAACCAGCAGCAGCACCCTCAATACATTTAGTTTATTGCATGCTTTCATAGGTCAGTGAGCTGACCCTGCCACCCACAGCCTCCAGCACTGAGGACCCACAGCTCTACACCGCACCATTGTCCAGCAGGTACCACGAGCATTAGCTTCAGCCACAGAAAATACATAAGCACTAATGTCTTCCAGAGCCATAGGGCAGGCCTCAAACACCCAGCTGTCAGAAGTAATAATGTTAACAGCCATCAGACAGATGCAATCAAGACAGGGAGCAAAGTAAAAGTTCTGAGAATCATGGAATCCTGGGCCCGGAAGGGAACCCATAGGCATCCGGTTTCATAGTCTGTGTATAGAAGCAGTCCTCAACTTATGGGTCACGACCCCTTTGGGGATCGAATGACCTTTTCACAGGGGTCTTCTAAGACTGTCAGAAAACAGATATTTACATTATGATTCTTTTTTTTTTTTTGGTTTTTCGAGACAGGGTTTCTCTTTATAGCCCAGGCTGTCCTGGAACTCACTCTGTAGACCAGGCTGGCCTCGAATTCAGAAATCCACTTGCCTCTGCCTCCCAAGTGCTGGGATTAAAGGCTTGCGCCACCACCACCCGGCTTACATTATGATTCTTAACGCTAGCAAAATTACAGTTATGAAGTATCAGTGAAATAATTTTATGGACGGGAGTCAGCGTAACATGAAGAACTGAATCAAAGGTTCATGGCACTACGAAGGTTAAGGACCACTGGTCTGGAGCCTAATGCTCCCCATACATCTATCTCCTTGCCAAGTGCTTGGTCCTACCTATGCTTTATACTACACAGTAATAGGCAGCTTATAACTGCTTTAGTTGGACATGTCTAGAGGTTGGAGACTTTACTGGGGATGAATTCAGAGGCATACTTAGAATCGAGAAACTGAACGAAATGAGGGAGAGGCTGCCAGCTTTGGTGTGTGGTGTAAAGCAGTCTCTCACCTAGTACCTCGACAACTGAGGGTTTGGAGATAAAGGGCATTGATAAACCTTAATATACTATTGTTATTTAATTTTAATTATTTGTTGTTTTCTGTGTATGGGTATTTTATCTGAGAGTATGTCTGCAACACGTGCATGCCTGGATCTGGCGAAGAGGGTGCCAGATCCCTTAGGACTAGAGTTACGGACAGCTACGAGCCACTGTGTGGGTGCTGGGAATTGAGCCAAGGTCCTCAGAAAAAGTAGTCTCTTAACTGCTGAGCCATCTCTCCAACCACTTTGGCGTATAGTGTTAAGTACAGTTCTGTAAGGAAATACACAGGCAACTGTAGAATATGCAAGAAAATGCTAGCTCTGGAGGCGAGCATGAGGGCACATGCCTGGAGCCCCAGCTACTGAGGAGACTGACACAGGAGGCTCACAGGAGGCTTTGTCCAAAACTTAGGTTATGTAACAAGAGAGAAAATTCAAGTTTAACAACCATGTTTGGATTCTGGCTCTGCCACTTGCAGTGCTTAGCCTAAGTACCTAGTCCCTCTGAGTTTCAGATTCTTCCTCTGTTAAATGGGGATATTTACAGTGTTCCTCTCACATGGATACAGTAGGAATTAACTCACACCAGATGGCAGTGGTGTTATGAAGGAGTGACTTGAGCACCCACAGAAAACAGGGAGTCACGGCCAAAAGAGTCTCACTTCAGTTTGTCTTGTCAAACCAACTTCATATCTTTGTTTCACAGGTTACTGAGTGTGTTATACACTTGATTTAATTTTAACTTTATCCAGGAGTTAAGTGTTCAAGTGTAGGTTGTGAGGCAGTGCACTTGAGCAGATCTACAACTTCTTGAACTAACAGTGACCATTCGTTAGACTGGAATCCTCCTAAAGGACAGGTATTTTGAATGCTATGGCCTTGTTCTTTTGTTTTGTTTTGCTAGTCTCAAACTCAGTGATCTGCCTGCCTCTGCCTTGCAAGTGCTGGGACTAAAGGCATATGCCACCACTGGCCTGGCTATGACCTTGTTCTTAACGTTCTTTGATCTTAGTTCTGATTAAAGATTGAAAAGAAGACACCTAAATCAGTGTTGATAGGCAAAGGCAACACACCAGTCCGAAGGTTAAAATTTATCATACCAAAGGCTCTGAAAATGAAAGGAAAAGGAAATGCTGGGCATTGATGTTACAAGATGAGGGAGAATCAATTGCAGAGTAAGCTGTGTGGCAAGACTGATTTACAGTTACATTCATTCACTCACTCATTCATTCATCCATCACTCCTAGAGTACCCACTATTTACCATGAGGAACTACACAGATAAAAAGGCAGTAATCCCTGTGGGCCCTGAAGGGTATAGAAATGCCACAGGAAGACCAACAGAGTCAACTAACCTAGACCCTTGGGGCTCTCAGAGTCTGAACCACCAACCAAGGAACATACACAGGCTGGACCTAGGCCTCCTGCACATATGTAGCAGATGTGCAGCTTGGTTTTCATGTGAGTCCTAAACAACTAGAACGGAGGCTGTCCCAAAAGCTGTTGCCCATACGTGGGATATGTTCTTCTAGCTGGGCTGCCCTGTCTGGACTCAGTGGGAGAGGAAGTGCCTAGCCTTGCAGAGACTTGAAGTGCCAGGGTTAGGGGGACACCCAGGGGCATCCAACCTGATCAGAGGAGAAGAAGTGAAGGAATGGGGAAGGATTATGGGGGGGGGGAAGTGAACGGGATGTAAAGTGAATAAGTAAAAAAAATTAATTAATTAATTAATTATTTTTTTTAAAAGGCAGCAATCCCAATCCACTTGCTGAACTCAGTGTACCAGAGAGCTGGACTGAGAGGTTTTATTTTAAATCCTAAGCATTAAGATGTTAGAGAGAGAGGGAAGATCTCCCACAACTGCTGTATAGATGTGATATCAAGATCAATAAGCATTTGTCAGAACCTGCAAGGAAAAGAACAGCTTTTCCAGAGTGGACCTCTCAACATATGCAGAGGCCCCAAGGTCAACCTAAACCACCCAAATAAGAAACACAGACACATTAGACACATGTATGCCTTACCATAGGTGATGACCAGCAGCACGAAGTTAAGGTTCTTGAAGAGTCGGACAATGGAACTTAAGTATGAAGCATCAGTGGTCGCCAAGGCATAGCTCAAGGACTGGGCCCTACTGGGAGGGTACTTGGGCTTCTCCTTGAATACTGAAAGGAAAGTAATAGAAACAATGGGAAATCTCTGTGGTCCCATCCCAGGGGTACCAGCTGCACACAGACACAAGCTGCCTCCACCATCTAGGGAGGGACTGAGATTGTAAAAGAAATAACATTGTTTCCAGAGAAAGCTTTCCAACTCCTCTTCCTAAAATTATTTCTCATTGTCTGAGGCTTTGCCCAAAATCCTTTTTTTTTTTTTTTTTTTTGCCTTTTCTTTTCTTCTTTTCTTTGGCAGTAGAGGGGAGGGATGCAACGGCCTCCAGCAGGAAGGCAAGTGCTCAATCTCTGAGCTACACTGTCATATTTTATTGCCTTTTCTTTAATAGCCCCTAGAGGACTGGAATCATTGAGCCTCCTAGGCAGTGTTCAAAGATCAAGGCAGCTCATAATACCTAGCAAATAACTTATCACAAAACAGAAGTGGGCACACATATCAGGGGGAGTGAAAGCTGGACTTTGGAAGGTCATGAACCCCGTGAGTGGCTGAGCTCCAGAGCTTCAAAGGGAGATAGGATGTGTGACGACAGAATCGCAGAGTCTGGCGCATGGCAGCCAAGCCATGAAATTCGAACAAGACTCTTCAAGTCTCGCTCTAGTTCCTCATGTTCCCTGAGTCAATGAAAATTACAATGGCGGAAGTTGAGAGCAAACTCCTTCTTTCTCCAGTGCTGAATGAGACTCATCTTAGGAAAGAGACAAGCTCCAGGAGTGACTGACCACTCCTGTGTCAAAGGCTGAAGAGAGACTGTAGGAAACCGTGTCATTTAGAGTCTAGTTCCGCACAGCTGGTATAACGTGACCCCACTGAGTGTCATTTGCCTCTGCAGGGCTGATGTGTTTAGCTAGTTATTTGACTAAACTGGTTCTCCCACATCATCCAAGCAAGGCCACTGACTACACCGCCTCTGACAAGCCTCCTGAGACCTCTCCTGGAAGGTAAGCAGTCTGCCTCCAGAGGAAGTTCTGGAAATGAGGTTGACTCTCCAAGCAGATCAAAGCACAACCACCCCCGACCATTACAGCTTTGACTTCAGAGCCCTGCCTCTTCCTTCTCCGATAATAGTTCTGGATAAATTCCCCCACTGGAATGTGCCATCCATTGTCTTGGCTGCTCAACTCCCTTTCTATTCGTGAAGGTGACCTAGGTCCTCAGCACCCGGTGTTGTCTCAACACCCATGACAGCTATGAACCAGTACTCAGATAAGCTTTTGTTTCTATCCTTCAGCCAACTACGATTTAATAAAATACCCAAACATAGCAATGTCCTACCACCTAGGTTTGCAGTTGCAAAGAATCAGGACCTCACTGGCCACGAACACAAGCATTTGGAGGCAGGCATGGTAGAATTTAAAACCTCAGTGGAACCAAGAGGCCCTGGGTTAGTTCATTCTTCCTTGCTTCCACTCACAGCTAGCTCCCCGCTGCTAGCCCTAGGGAACACTGTCCTGACTAAGCTACCTGGAATGAAATACCTTAGAGAGCAGTAGTATGAGATACACATTTAACTACGTGACTCTGCAGGTAAGCCAGCACACAGGAATAAACCTTTACTACCTGAGATTAGACTTTAGGGCAGAGGGTAACCTTTAGATGGGTGACTAACAGGCTAACAGGGAAGAAAACTACTTGGACATCTCTGAATCCACTGCGATCATATCACTTACATGGAAACAATGTTTCTTTTTTAAATTCTGTCGTTCACTTTTGTTGTGGGTTTGTTGATGTTTTGTTTGTTTTCTTTGACACAGGGTCTTCCTGTGTAACATAGGCTGTCCTTGAATTAGTCATCCTACTGCCTCAGCCTCCAGAGAGCAAGGATCACAAGGGGCCAGCCAAGAGGCATAAATAAGCAAATACTTGGATGAGTAATTGGACGTCTGTGTAAAATGTTAATAGCAGTTACCTGAGCTTTCTTGTTGGAATTTAGTTTTCAAGGGCAAATTAATGGTCATTCCTTTCTTTACACTCTTTTATTTTTAGATTTTCCACAGTGCATACATTACTCATATTAATAATAAGGATGAAGACATTTGGTCCCCAAGTATTCTCAGGCTCAGCTCAGATTATTAGCATCTGTGGGGCAATTTCTATTTTATAATTTCAAGTGTTTATAATTTCAAGTGTAGCATTAAACAAGCTTGGATTTCAATCCATTCCTGGACACTTGCTAGCGGTCTAATCTGGAAGGACTTCCTGAATTTCCCTCAAGTCTTAGCTTCCTTGATGAAGAGGTTCTACAAGGCACCTCATTCATTGGTTGTTGGGGACTAAATGAAATAGGACATTCTTGGGATTTTGGTGGGGTGTGGTGAGACAGGGTAGTAGCCTGGCTACTACCTGTATAGCTTTGGCTATACCATAACTTGTACTGTAGGTCAGGCTGGCCTTGAACTCAAAGAGATCCTCCTGCTTTTGCTTCCTAAGTGCTGGAATTAAAAGCATGCCCCAATGCATTTGGCTTATAATCAGACATTGTCAACAAAATGCCTATGACACTGGAGGTCCTCCTTGGGGCCTCATCAAGGTGACAGCAATCTACCTAATTCTTCTAATGAGATGGAAATGGAGAACTGGTCAACCACAATTAAACCTTTCCTGGGCTGATAATGAAGTACATAGTGTTGGTATCAGGCTCCGAACCCAGTGACATCACATCTAGGCGACCCCCACATCGTTGCCAAGGCAACCACCATACATTCCCAGAATCCATCTGGCTACCTCACCTTTACCTGGGAGACGCTACGTCACCGCCCATATAAAACAAGCAGAACCCCCCCCGACCTTGCTCTCTTCTTCCTCTCTTCTTCCATCTTCTTCTTCTACTTCTTCCCCCCACCGCCATCTTTGCCCTATCTCCTGAATAACCCACCCCCTTGGAACGTTTGGTCTGGTGTGGTCTGTTCGAAATTGCACGTGTGGACGTCTAACACATAGTACCAGTTAAAGCTGTATTAGGGACAATTTATTCCGGCTAAAACATCTGAAGACTGTAAAAAGCCCAGCCTCTAGTGTCTCTAAGTATCTGTGGTATTTAGGGCCATGTTCAAAGGGTGCCACCAGGGTTGACATAACTTCCCCACCCCTTACCCACCAGCGGCCTACTGATGATCTTACCAATGATGACAAGGATGAAGAGGAAAGTGGCCACACCTCCTATTATGTAGAACATGATGCTGATGTGGTAGGCAAGCTTTTCCTGGTCATTGATGTTGGGTACCAGAACAGGAGGGACCAAAAACCCAATTGCAATTCCAAGCTATGTAGAAGACAGATACAACCAATCAGTTATCAAACAGCCAAGAGCCAAGGGGCAAATTTAGAGACAACTATTCAGAAACATAATTTCTCAGGCTGGGAAATGGTTCAGTTGGTAAAGTGCCTGGCATGCAAGCATGAGGACGTGAGCTCACAGACCTAGTACCTACATAAAATCTGGGTGTGGTCTCATGTGGCTGTCACCCCAACAATGGAAGGACAGAGATAGATCCCTGGAAGTCATTGGCCAGCCAACCTAGCAAAATCAATGAACCGTCTCAAAAAAAACAAAGATAGATAATGGAAGTCACTCGATGTCAACATCTAGCCTCATGTCAACATGAGCACATACCCACATGAGCATGGATACATGCTATACACACATGTGCACATACAAAAAAAATTAATTCCAAACTTCCAGTCCTTCCTCACACACAAATCAGAATTATTTTCCCCACCAAGAGTCTTTTCCTTAACAGCTTGACTCATACACAGTTCTGGCCCAAAAACTATAGAGGAGGCTGGCTTTCCTTTTAGTGCAAACTAATGAGTAATGGTTTCCATATCCCCATTTCTGGAATATAGTAATAAAATGTTGACTTTTTTCTTCTTGCACTATTGAAATGATCAGTTTCGGTGAATCTGTTAGCCTAGTGCTAAGAGTTCAGTTAAAAACCATCTATAACCTTTAGCTACAGAGAGTATGTTCAGTGAGAGCTGGAAGTTGTCAGCCCATTTAAGAATTACACTTCAATTCATTGTGTAATAATTTAGCAACAGCCAAAGTTTTTGTAGTGTGAGGTCACACATGACTGTAAAATGGTTACACACACACACACACACACACACACACACACACACATTGGTGTTGGAGTGCAAATATCCCAGACCCTAGCAAATAACATAACCTGGGTGTCCCTGAGATCAGAAATGCTGTGATTCAGCAGTAACTAATATACAACTCCCAAAAGTCCTGCCACCCTCAGTTGTTTGGAGCCAGTCCAGGGCTTTCTCTTGGGCCTGGATATATGGAGAGGAACATAGTTTCTTGTCTAAAAACCAGGAACTTGCTTAGTAAAGTCAGTAATGGCCTAGGGCCAGGGCCTTGGGGAAGCTGATCTTTTGGATCCTGGGAAGTTACTTTGCCCCAATTTGAAGGCCTGTGGTTATCTGTCCCAAGGCCACCAAGTGCTCAGTCTGTAGCACACTTGAGATAGCCTGTGTTCCTGTTGTGCATCATTGCTTGGTTAGGTTGCTACTGCATCCGTCCCATTGTATGATAGTTTAACAGAATCTGATGGTCTGTCCCATTTCCCCCTGCAAACAATAGGTAAGATGCTGTCTTAATAAACTTGCTTGGCTTGAGCCATCAACTCATGAAAGACCTTCAGACCCTAGCTTTCCTATCTTCATTTTTCTCATTCCTGGCCTCTCCTTCAGGAATCTGTCAAAGGAAGTCCAGCCTGTTCATCCAGGTGACATAATACCAAGGTAGAAACTGGAGAGAGTTCATCAACTCAGGCAGCCTTGCTATTCCACAAGCACAGGATGAACAGGAGGACAAGAGCTCTTCTTCCTCACTGTCACGCCCTTCCACTGCCAACCTATTCACTTCCTTACATGAGCGTTTCCTCTGTCAATTACTGTCAATCAAAAGGCCCTAGTGGTTCCTAGCTTTGGAGTAGTCACAGACATCAGCAAAAGGCTGTGTGTAGGGACTGGAGAGATGGCCCAGCTGTTAAGAGCACTTGCTGTTCTTCCAGTGGGCCCAACTTCTGTTACCAGCAAGCATACAAGGGGGCTCACAATCACTTGTAGTTAGTGGTTGAATCTGATCCCCCCTCTTCTGTCCTTCATGAGCACCAGAATATACACATCACACATGCACACACACACACACACACACAAATAAAAATCATTTTTAAAAGGCTAACTGTTCATATCCTGGTTCAGTATATAATCAATAAATCAATAAATATATATTTTTTAAAATATAAATAGCAGAGTTACACTTATTAAAGTAGCAACAAAAAAACCTTTATGGCTGGTGATCACCACCACATGAGGAACTGTATTAAAGGGTGGCAGCATTAGGAAGGTTGGGAACCGCTGCTGTCGAAGGTGATTAAAAGAAAAATGCAACAAATAAGATAGATGGCATGTGATGGGATGCAATGATGGAATGTTATAGTTAAACCCTCTATACAACCTGGTTATTAGAGGCCCAGGCTACGTGACTTTCAGCTCTGCAGGCTAAAGAACTTACCCAGAGCTGCCCAGAGTTCTGCTCGAGTGGAGGTAAGAAAACATATCTATCCGGCTTCAGGCTAAAGCCTCTTCCAGTAATACAACATCAATGCCTGGAGAAGGGCCCCAGTGGGCAGATATTGTGCCCCTTGGACCATCACCAGCCACTCAGTGTCAAGGATTTGTTAGAGCTAAAGCAGGGGTAATTAATTCATCAATTTTGTTTTTACTAGCATATATTAATTCTAAGTAATGGGTATAATTGTGACACTTTTGTCTATATATAATATATATATACACACATGAGATTCTCAGAGGAAGTTAATGAGGCAGGCTTCTTAATGCTCACTTCCAGTACGTTCCGTGGAAGCCACCCACAGACGGGGACCTTTATCATATCCTCCCCAAGTTCTATTTGGCCTCTTAGAAATCCAGAAGTTAAGGTGGATCTTAGGAGTCCATTTACAAGAGTCAGGGAAGATTTAGTCAGGGAAGATTTGGGACAATTACCCAATACTCTTTCATTTCTAAAATAAAGATGACAATGCTTGGGGACCTGGGTAAGGTCAACATGATCCTTAGCCATCTTGGCTGGTATGACACACCATGTCTGGTACCTCAGTCTGGGCTCTGGCTACTCCATCCACATTTTGACCCAGGGCTAGTGGTGTTCAACCTGCACAGAGGGCTTCTCTAGCCAATGGGATGTAGACCCTTAGTTAAGGTGACAGAGAATGATGTGCTCTTGGGGCAACCCTTCTGCAGGAGCAAGGAGTTTTGGAGGTACTTTCCCGCCCAATGTAGAAAGTCAAAACAGATCTATAAGGGGCTGCCTCTTTGGGTTTTAATGGCTTTATTTTCCTACCTTTTAAGATCAAGGCTCAGTAAGAGCCTGTGACTGTTTCCAGGTTCACTCAAGTCATGATGAAATGACGAACAGATGGATGAATAGATGGATGGGCAGATAGACAGACAGACACTAATTGTTGGAAAACCTGTCTACACAAAGCTATGTGGTAACAGGTGTGCTTATTCAGTTCGAGGTTCGTACTACAAAATGAACAGTATCCACAGCAAATTAACCGTCAGGAATGAACATATTCTAAAGAGATACTTATGTGTCTCCATTCCCTAATAGATTAGAACTCCTAATAGAAATTAAGAATTTGCCCAGAACCTGTTATGCTGGCCCCTGGCTTTCTGAAGGACTTTGAGCATCAGCTTCTCTGTCCAGACTAGGTCTCTGGGTCTGTGTTAACATCTTGAGTCTCTTATAGCAGGATTAGATCCTTGTGGGAGTCATTTTATATTTCTATAATTACTTAACATGTGCTTCTCTAGCCAAACGAAGGTCCCTGAGAGGACAGGCCTCAAAGGTAGCGCATACCAGATACTAATCATAGCAAAATGTACAAAGCTTTCCATGGAATGCCTTTGCCTTCACAGCAGCCCCACAAAAAGGGAATCTATCATTGTCCACTTTATTGTTTGCTTTGGTTCTTTGAGGCAGGGTTTCTCTATGTATCTCTAGCTGTCCTGAACTATGCAGAACAGGATGGCCTTGAACTCAGAGATCTACCTCCCGAGTGATGGGATTAAAGGTGGGCCACGACCACCCAACATTATCCACGTTTCACAGCTGACGATCCTGAGAAGCAAAAATGTCGCAGAAGCTGCTTTGGGCCATGTGACTAATGGTTACAGAGCTGGATGGGGTTTCAACACACCAGCTCTGAATCGAGGGCTCATGAGCGTGCTGCCTATACTTTATTCCAGTCCCAAAGGAAATGTTTTTTAAAAAACATGGGACAAACCAAAGGATGGAGAGGCAGCCTGGAAGACTCAACTTTCATTTCCCATTTCTTTCCTGTCCTTTCTGGAACTTCATGGAAGATATCACCATGCTTTAGTAATGGCAATTGTCAAGGATGTTTAGTAATATTGACATTAGTAATGCCAATAGTCAGGGCTATTTCCAGAACATAGTTAAACACACATGTGTGGAGCCTAAAGTCTTTGGGTAGCTGGAAGAGAACACTTTGTGTGTCCCTGTCCCTTGTCCACTTGGTTCATGCATTGGATGAATAAAAACAAAGCCAGGAAACCATCAAGCTGCATGTGGAGCAAGACTTGCACACCAGGACTTGCACTGACATGGAGCTCCGTGCTGGAGAGCTTGCCTAATGCAAACAGGGCCTTGGGCCCATCGCAAGCACTGCCTCTCAAAGGACTCTAGTGGACTCAAGCACGCCAAACACAGGCCCGAGAATGGCAGACAGAGCCAACAAGTTTTGCTATTTACTTTTCTTCTCCTTGCTGAAAACCATTAGATTCCATTCCTAAAGCCAGCCCCCCCCCCCAAGGTCTATTCCTTCATTTGGCCATTTCTTCCTTCTGAGGCTGACCACCAAGGCCCACCTATCAAAGTACTGAAGTCCAGCAATCCAAAGCCCCCTTTGGCTCACCTAATTAACACGCCCAATCAAAGCAAACCAAGTCATCCTAACCCAGGGTTTCCCCTTTTCCCTTTACAAACTGCTATTCACCTAAGGGCCACATCTGCCTCCTCTCTCCAGACACAGTCCTTTGTGCCTCTGAGGTAAATAGTCTTTCCTCCACTCTCCTTGGCTCCTTCTCCTTTGTCCTCTGTCCCCTGTCTTTGTCTCTTATTTCCTGTACTTTGTCCCTCTGGGGCAAATAATTTCCTTTGTGCCGAGAACTTTGTCTAGGTGTGTCCGGTGCTCGCTCTGGTCC